TAGGATGCTGGTGATAAAGGGAGGAAAATGTAAACCCCAGAGGTCAAGTGACTCAGCCAGGGCCTTGTGGAATCTGAAGCAAAGCCAAGGCTGGTTAATCTGGCCAGTGTTCTCTCACTCCAGGGTTCATTCTGACTTCTGGAGAAAATTGTGATATAAACAGATCTGTCTACACTGCCATTTCCAGCTTTTGCAGGAGACTAATGGACAGATTTCCTTAGTACACAGGAGCCTCAATTCTAGGCATGCAGAGTCCCTCTGGGCCAGGTGAATGGGAGCACAGGACAGGGTATGCCGACCTCTTTGTTCTGTGAGTGGCTTGCTCCTGGTGTATCCTCTATCCCTGTGTGCTGTAGCCAAGTCCTACCTACCTCCTTGGGGCACTTCAGAGTCTTCCTGCAGCTTGGAAGGGGAGCAATTGGATGGACAGACCCTGTTACCTGTGCTCAAGTGTGGGTAGAGGCATGGGGTCACTAAACAGTTGCCCCCAGAGATCTGCTGTATGGAGCAGGAGTATCAGATACCCTTTCCAGTCATCCTGGTCCCCTGGATGCCTTAGGATTCTCTCACTGGTCTCAGCCGCAGAATGGTGTTTGGTGGCTTTTGCTGCTATTATAATAGATGTCAGGACTGCCCAGGACACAGCTACACGTGCATTCTGTGCCAAACAGTGTCCCACAGCAGGAAAGCCCACACACACACAGTCAGGCCTGTGCTTGCTGGGGTCTGCCCCTAAGTGCATGTGGGTATGCTTGGGAATTATTCAGTCTTTCAACTCTCAGTTTCTGTATCTGTAAAATGGGAGAAAAATACCCACATTCTTTGTGGTGTGGTTTGAACAAAATAAACTGGTGCAAACTACAGAACACATACCTGTTTGTGGGGCTTTTTTTTCTTTACTCTAGCAGTTGTTAGGTGTGACCATGGGCAGCCCCCTGAAGGCTGTATGTACCTCTGATGTAACTCAGCTTCTAAATTGAAAGAACCAAATATCTCAGATCAGACATCTCTCGCTGCCTGGGTGATGGAGCCAGCTGAAGTGTGATCTCTTCTGTGTAGTTCAGGGTCCTGGAAAGGAAACATAGTTATGTTGCTAGACTGACTTAAAGTGGGCCGGGAGAGTACTCAGCAGGTAAAGGCGCTTGCTGAGCAAGCATGAAGCCTGAGTTCAGATCCCCAGCACCCATGTAAAAAGTCAGGTGTGCCCCAGCATGCCCCTGCAACCCCAGGGCTGTAGGGGATGAAGGCAGGAGGGTCACTGGAGCTTGGTGGCTGCCAGCTCACTCCATGCTCATTAAGAGACCCTGTCCCAAAGGAATAAGGCAGAGAGTGATAGAACAAGGCGTCTATGTCCTTCCTCTGGCCTCTGACCTTGTATTAGCACACCCATGGGCAGATACACCATCCTCACACACAAAAGTAAATTCATTGAAAGTCTGTAATACTTAAGTTTTTGCCATTCAGCATACCTGAGCTCACGAGCCCCTTATCAGTGCCTGTCTTGTCCTCTGCACATGGCAGTGGTTGATTGTCAGAGAGCAAGTGCCCTGGTTGATTCCCTCCCCTTTTTTAAAAAAGATGTATTTATTATGTATACAGTGTTTTGCCTGCATGATGCTTGTACACCAGAAGAGGGCACTAGATCTCATTACAGATGGTTGTGAGCCACCGTGTGGTTGCTGGGAATTGAAATCAGAGCCTCTGGAAGAGCAGCCAGTGCTCTTAACCTCTGAGCCATCCCTCCAACCCCGATTCCCTCCCCTTTCTAGACTGTGCTGTGCATCACAACTGAGGAAGATCTGTCCTGTTTTAGAATATTTCAGGGAACTTTGGTGGCCTCTCCAGGGCCTGGAGAACAGTGGCTTCTTCCTTGAGTCCCTTTTGCTGGCTGTCCACTCTTGAGAGTAAGAGCTTGCTCAGTCTTCTGGTAGAAGCTTGGACAGACACAGGGTGCGGTCACGTCTCACCCGCAAGCAGGTGGCCGGGCTGGAGACTGTCCTGGCTGTAGTGTATGAAGTCTAGCTTGAGCGGCAGCCAGGCACCATTCCCACCTGCCCACCAGCTGTGCTGCCTGAAGCAGCTGGTTTTACATACATCTGCCTTTGAAAGAGGTTAGCAAGTGGTCTGTGGGCCAACCAATCCCCCAACAAGGTGAATCAGAGGCCATTGGCCTCGGGAGTCTACTGTCTCCCAGGATAGGAAATGCAGATCTGCCCCCCAGCACCTGAAAATAAACACACCCTACTTAGTGAGTTCCTACTGTGTGCCTCAGGTGCTTCCAGCAAGCAAATACCTATAGGACAGCCTGGAGCCCAGTTGGCCAGTGGCCAGCAGGGAGCCCCAGTACTCAGAAGGCTGAGGCTGCCAGCCAGGCCATGTTGGCTGTGCTTTACTCTTAATACCAGCATCTCCCATGACAACCTGGAGATAAACACCTGTGATCAAGCAAAGGCTGCACCGAGATTAGGTGTCTGGGCAAGGTGGGACCTGGACTGTGATTCCAACACCCTTAAGTGACCTGGTTTTCATTTTTCTTTTTTTAATGTGGCTATTCAAGAAGCATAATTTGTTTGTTAACCAGGTAATACAGTAGGAACTCAAAGTGGCATTCCTGAGCAGCCGTCTTAGAAGAAAGCAGGTACCCTGGGCTTCCTGAGTGAAATGCTGGTGTAAATTCTGACAGGAGGGGTGTTTGGGAGCTGCAAGCCCAGCCCAGGCGCCCCAGGAACCCAAAGCCTCTGCTGCCAGCACTGTTTTACAGCAGTGTGATCCCCTCCTGGCGTCTCTGCAACAAGTGGTTCTAACACCTTCCTGCCCTAAAGCAAAACATGTGACTTAAAAGAAGGAGACTTGACCTCAATTACCAGGTGCAAATATCAGTCACTGGGAGTCACCAGGAGGCCAGCCTCTGCTTGATAGCTATTAAGATACACTGTTCGGGCGTGATAAAGGCTGTCCGCCTCTCCGTTTATGATTTCCAGTAAACCAGGGCACTTCAAGGAAGGGCCAAGGCAAGAGACAGGTTCCAGACCAGGCCCTCCACTGAGCTGGCACAGCAACTTCTGCAGAGGTCTAAGAGGCAAGAGCAAGGCCTCAGCTCCTCCCTCTCGGGGCATGGCTGAGAGCCAGCCTGCCTGGACAGCTTTGGAGGGACAGGTGGTTCCTGCCCCCAGCCAGGCAACTTATGTGCACGCTCAGGGTGGGGAGGTCAGAAAAGGAAGGAGTCAGTCATGTACATCAGTTGCTCTGTGCTTACTGTTGGCGCCAGGGCAACTCATCACTCTGGGCACATTTGTCTGCCCCTCTGGGCAATAGCAGCTCAGCTCCTACAGAAAGCTGGGCAAGTATTCCCAGCAGGCACCTGTGCTGGTTCTTCTGCAGCTAACCAGTACGGGGAAGCTGGGGCCACAAGGAAACTGGAGACAGGCAGTCTGTCCCATCTGGGAAAAGAGCAGAGGTTCTCCTACCCACCCCCTGATGCCTGGATGGAGGTGGTTCCCTAGGCCCTTCTGAGCTTCCTTGAGACACCGAATCCAGCAGCAAACATAGAAAATTTATATCGAATGAAACTAGCCTGCAGTTAACAGTAGCTAATAGTAGCATGTGTCCATCTATGAAGTGTGTCAGGAACATTAATTGCCCCATCTGTCTCACGTGTGCTAGGCACTGGGCAAGTATGATCTGCTCAAGCAGACAGAGCTGAGTGGTAGAGGTAGAAAGAAAACAGGATGGAATGTTAGGGGCCGGGGATGCTGCTCAGATGTGAGAGTGCATTCTTAGCATGCACACAACCCTGGGTTCAGTCTCCAGCTATATATATCCTAGGCATGATGACACATGCCTATAATCCCAGCATTGGGAGGTGGAGGCAGGAGAATCAGAATCCCAGAGTCATCCTTGGCTAATAGTGAGTTTGAGGCCAAACTGGGCTACTGAAGACCCCATCCTATTGTTTTGTTTTGTTTTTTGTTTTTCGAGATAGGGTTTCCCAAGGTGATAGTCCTGGTCACCCTGGAACTCAACTTTGTTACAGGCTGGCCTGAGATTCACCTATCTCTGCCTCCAGAGTGCTGGGATTAAAAGGGTGTGTCACCACTGCCCGGCCTAATTTTTTTTAATACACTAGCAGTGAGTGCTGTTTGAACCACACTGAGGAACTATGGACAGGGTGGTCAGGGAGAGGCTCTCAGAGGGACACCTGAAAGGCAAGCAGAGTCAAGAAGGGACAGGGGCATAGTGACCTGTGCAGTCCCGTGTTCTCTGTGAGGTAAGGCAGGAAAACTGGTGTGACAGGAAGCAAGTCACTTGGTACGTGACCTTTCTTTTCCTGTCTTCTAAATTATTACCTAAACACCCATTTGCCCGGTGTCCTCAGTGCCAGGCACCCTGCTGGGAAGTGCTGAGACCAGGGCCAGTATATCAAGCTCCCTTCACGAGAGGTGTTCGGTGTGTTGGAGGATACACCGTGGAAGGCAGTGTGGTCAGTGCTCTGGGAGGAGAATTCCAGAGGCTAGTGATAGAGGTCGAGATGGCTTCCTGATCCACTGCGAGCTCCGAGGGAAAACGATGGGGGAAAGTGACGTCTGAACCATGTTGAGGGATGGAGGGAGGTTATCCCTTAGCCATGTTGAGGGATGGAGGGAGACTATCCCTCAGCCATGTTGAAGGATGGAGTGAAAGGATGCTGAGCCATGAAGAGGGTTGGGGTAAGAGGATGCCTGAGTCATGATGAGGGATGGGGTGTGGGTAGTCTGGAGAAGGAAAGCAAGTCCGTTCCAGGCAGGGAGAAGCTGAAGGCTGGGGTAAACAGCTGTGAGAGGTCTCAAGATGGACAGCTGCTGGAAGCAGACACAGAGGCCTCAAATGCTCTGGAGACCCAGCCAGACACTCCAGAATAGCTTGTAGAGTTGAGACAGATTCCTAAGGGGCTAGGGCTGGAGGACAGGATGCTGCTTATAAACTGTGCCTCAGACCCCTCTCTGTGGACACCTTTCTTCCAGAGATCCAGCCCATGAGAGGACCAATCCCTGCCAGTAGCTACCTGTCAGATTAGAATAGAGATGAACCTCAACCAAGGACCAGGATGCGAGTGAGCAAGTACTCAGCATGCAGAGGGCACATCAACTGCTTGGTTCTTCGTGGACAACCTGTGAGTCTAGCGGCAAACACAAGGTTTTGCATTTATGTCAAGAAGACTTTTCACCAAATCCCTTTCAGGCACAACACTGGGTTGGAAATCATAAAGGAGCTGTTAACCACAACCCAGTAAATGTATATTTGAACTCAAAAACAAGACGTCATGTATGCAACCCTAGCCTGCTGGGGATACTGGAATTATCCATCCTTTCCTCTTACTCGCTCCCCAGCTTATATTCCCGTCTCAGTCCCAGTTCCAGAGGCTCTGGTTGTCGTTTTCACACACACACACACACACACACACACACACACACACACACACACACACACACACTGCTCCTTAGCAACACTCCAGGGTACATGATGACAGACACCTGGTTACTGCCATCATCAGTTAATCTTTTGACAACCAGAGAATAAACAGTAAGAGAAAAGAGAGAGAGTCCAGAGTCCACAGTGAACCACCATATGCCGAGGACTCTGGCTCAACTGCTCTAGACACTGCTACCCACATCGCCCCCACCCCCTCTCTGTCTCTCAGGTAGTCAGTGTTTCACTGTGGAACAGCTCTGGCTACTGGGACTCCCTCTGTAGACCAGGCTGGCCCCAAACTCACAGAGAGCCACCTGCCTCTGCCTTCCGAGTGCTGGGATTAAAGGGCATGCGTCAGCACCTCATGGCTCTTTCTTTTGCTTAAACTTCCATTTATCCATAAAGGTCCTTTCTCTGCATTTATCACAAGCCCAGTGCTGGGAGCCAACTGATGGGCTGTCCCACCCACCCATCCCTTGCCTCTGGCTTCTGGTCAGGTTTACTCAATGGACAGCACTAGCAAGAAATCAACGAAGATTACGACAAAGTTAATAAACCTTGGGGCTGGCTGAGATTGCTCAGTGGGAAAAGGTGCTTACCACCAAACCCGAGGAACTGAGTGCAGTTCCTAGGAGCTACATGGTAGAAAGAGAACAGACTCCTACAAGTTGTCTTCTGACTTCCACACGTGCACTAGAGCATATGTTTCCCCCAACCCAACATACACATATAAAAAGTTTAACACCCCCTTGGTCTCTACCCAGTTATTTCATCCCCCCTTAGATCCCACAGCTGCTGCCAGGTGCCCTTTCCAGCAGCTGTTACCCCTCCCTTCCCACACGCCATCATCAAGCTGCAGGTGCTAACTGCTGCCCACCATTGCTCGCTGCTATCGGTTGCTAGCCCCCAGAAACTCCACTCTCCAGGACTGCAGTCAGCCCCTCCCACACTCCTGTAAATGTGCGCCCCCCCCCACTTGAGTATGTCCTGCCACATACACGAGGTAACAGCTCTCTCAGCCCCGTTTGAAGACATCGAAGCGGAGACTCGGAGAAGCTCAAGAGCCTGTTGAGGGAGTGGGGGCCACACCTCAGGTGAACAGCAGAGTGGATCTCCATTCCAGCTGTTGGAGAGTGTGTGTGTTGTCCTTAGGTTAGATTGCTTCCTTCCCACACGCTACAATTCACCTCCCCGGACTTTCACCTCCCCGGACTCCGTGTATCTGTTTACTCCAGCCTTTTGTTTCTCAATCCGCAACCATGTTTTTTTAAAGTCTGAGAATTCTGAGTGCTAAAAGAAGGCTTTCTGGTAATTGTGAGAATTGACTGGTAGCTGGCCAAGATGGAGAAAGGGCCACACCTGTTGCAACAGACTGGCGTGAACTTGACCGCCCCATGCTTACGGTGCCCTCGCTGTGGTCTGTCCCTTGCCCTGAAGGACACACCCCTGACATCACAGCCCCTGGGGGCTGAAATAAAGTTCCCAGTCTGCCAAAGAGGTAATCTGGGGTTACCTAATGTTGTTCCCACTTCTCAACACTAGCCCTACACTTTATTCTCACTAAAAGGCAGAGACACGATACAGTATTGTGGTCCTTCAGTGGCTGGCTTTCATGATCTATGGAGACACCCCAAACCAGGACAGTCCTGAAACTGCTGATTCAGTTTGCATGAGGATATTACTTTTTATTTTAAGGAACTTTCAAAATCACCTAAAATTTAATTGTAGACGTAGTTTAGCGCTAGAGAATCCTTGGGTGTGGAGTTTCCCGGCCCTTTTACATCACTTGAGGTTGGACACTCTGAGGATGATGGCCAGGAAGTCGCAGTTGGGCTCCAGGCTACCTAGTAGCCAAAGACCTTTTAAAGCTTGGAACTTGGCTCAAGAGCAGCTGTCTCCTCCCTTGTCTCAGCTCCTCTAGGGGAGACCACAGAAGACTGACCCTTCAAAAAATCTTTTCATTGTAAAATTTTTTTAAAAAATAATTTTTAAATTTTATTTATTTATTTTTTGCTGTACAATGGATACTCTTCTTGCCTCCACAGGCACTAGAATATATATGGCACACATATACATACTGGCAAGACAACCATATACATCAAAAATCTACCAACTAGTCAGCACTTTAATTCCAGCACGTGGGAGGCAGAAATAGGCAGATCTCTGAGTTCAAGTCCAGCCTAGTCTACAAATGAACTATAGGATGGCCAGGGCTATATTAAGAAACTCTATCTGGAAAATTATTATTATTATTATTTTAAATGTATTTGGGATGTGTACAAATACTACATCTGGTGTATGAATATTAGAGGACAACTAGCAGGAGTCTGTCCTTCCACCATGTGCAGTTTGGGGGTTTGACCCAGGTTGTCAGATTTAGTGGTGGGTACCTTTACCTGCTGAACCATTTCAGCCCACATCCTTTTTTAATAAAATTATTATTAATTTTATTTTATGTGCATTGGTGTTTTGCCCGCATGTATATGTGGGTGAGGGTGTCAGATCCTCTGGAACTGCAGTTACAGACAGTTGTGAGCTGCCATGTGGGTGCTGGGAATTGAACCCAGGTCTTCTGGAAGAGCACCCAATGCTCTTGACCACTGAGCCATCTCTTCAGCCCCCCTCATCCTGTTTTTCTAGATGAGGGTGCAATGGCCAGCACTCTGGCAGTTACCACAGACAATAAGAATGAGAGTTTACGTTATATATAGGGGGAAGGTGAGATAGACGGAGCCTGTGACCCTAATAATGACTTCTGGGACTAGCATACCAACCCTGGAAAAATGACATCTTCCAGCTTGTTTTCCGTTTTACTTTTATATTGGAAAGAAAGTTCTGTCTTGTTTAAGCCACTGTTTACTGTTTTATATAGCTGAGCCAGGTATTAAACAACTATAACGTTCTGCTTGTACTCTTTTTTCATTATTGATCTGCATATCTTACATATGGGCTAATCATTCTCTGTTGCCATAAATACTCCTCCATTTTTGCTTGTGTTTGGATTTTGTCTGAGTTTCCTTTTTACAGTGTTGGTGTTAGTTTTTCATGTAGACAAAATTTTTAGGTTTTTGTTATTGTTGTTGTTTGTTTTTTGAGTCAGAGTTTCTCTGTGTAGTCCTGGCTGCCCTGGAACTCATTCTGTAGACCAAGGTGGCCTGGAACTCACAGAGACCTGCCTGCCTCTGCCTCCCAAGTACTAGGATTAAAGGTGTGTGTCACCAACACACAGCACCCAGTTAATTCTTAACCTGTTCAAGGCTATAAGTTTCTAACCCTCCCTTCTCTCCTAAACTCTGACACAGAGGCCAGCATCCCCCTCGTTCACAGGGGCCAGCATCCCCCCTTTTTCTCACAGCCTTTTCTGACCTGAGCCTCCTGGAAATGAGCACAACCAGCACACAGCCTCTTCTTCCCACCTCCTCCCTACCTGTGTCTGTGGTCATCTACCTACCACCCAAAGATGTACCGGGCTTCTTCTTGAACTCCATCACCCTGTGCTCAGCACTATTTCAGCTGGTCTCTGATTTTTGTTCAGCTAGACCAGCCATTGATAATTCTCCCACTATTGGGAACCTCTTATTATTTCTTCTCTGGAAAGGCAATATGAAGAATACATTTTTTTTTTTTGATTAGCTATGGAGCTTTTGGTATTTCTGTTGGTTGTGGTAGGTGGGTGGGTGACTTGGTTGGTTGGTTGGTTGGTTGGTTGGTTGGTTGGTTGGTTGGTTGGTTGGTTTGACATGGTTTCCTGTATCCCAGACTGGCCTCCTTGTTGTTATATATCAGAAGATGACCTTGAACATCCAAGTGCTAGTATTACAGGCATCCACGACTGTCCCTAGTTATGAGTTTCTAGGAACCAAATCCAGGGTTTCATGCATGCCAAATAATCACTCTACCATCTGGGCTACATCCCAAGCCCATTAGGGAGCTTTTTAAATTAAAATTTTGTTTTCCTATGAGAGAAATTAAGTGTATTTGTCATTTTAAATGGAAAAATACAGAAAACACCAAGCCAAACAAAAGTCCCCTGGAATCCTTCATTACCATGTTTAAAGGTACATAAAGTAAAAAGTGGGGTGGGGGTGAGGGTGGTGTTGTAGCACACGCCTTTAATCACAGCACTTGAGAGGCAGAGGCAGGCTGTTCTCTGACTTTGAGACTAGCCTGGTCTACAGAGTGAGTGCCAGGACAGTCAACTACACAGAGAGACCCCATCTCAAAAAAAAGTGAAAGGCCTACCCAATACCACAAGATAAACTCTTAAAAAGTTGCCACACCTCCCTCCAAACTTACTTATATAAACAAATGTCAACTGGGGGCTGTGTCAGTGTGCTGTTGCCATGAAGAGACCTACGACCACAGCAACTCTTATAAAAGAAATCATGTTTCAGAGGGTTAGTCTATTTTCATCATGGCAGGAAGCAGACAGGCTTGGTGCTGGAGCAGTAGCTGAGAACTTTACATCCTGATCACGGGCAGCAGGCACAGAAAGACAGACAGTGGGCCTTGTGTGAACTTTGGAATCTCAAAGCTCTCCCTACTCCATCAAGACCACACCTTAGAATCCATCCAAAACAGTTTACCATCTGGGGACTAAGCATTCCAATATATGAGCCCATGGGGAGCATTCTCATTCAAACTACCACAGTGGTTTTGGGGGGAACCAAACGTAGGCCTTAGGCATGCTAAACAAGTGTTCTACCAATGAACCATGTCCTCCACCCTTTGTTTTTGAGACAAGATCTCTCTCAGTGTAGGCCAGGCTGACCCCAACTCATGATCCTCTGCTTCCTGAGTACTGAGATTACATGTATATCCTACCATACCTAACTTCACCGCTTGTTCATGAAAGTGGGATCATTGTATTCCTTGTCCAACAACTGGAGTTTTACCAGTAGCATTGTATATGTGTACATCCTTTAAGACAATACATAGAGACCTGTTTTTTTCTTTTACCTGTGTGTGGTATGTATGTATGCATGTATACCTGTTTTTGCATGTGTGTGAGTACATATACTTGTGTATGTTCCTGCATATGGAGACCAAGGTTGATATCAAGAACCATCATCAAACTCAATGACCCTTACTCATTGAGTCAGGGTCTCTCAGCATAACCCAGAACTCCCCAGTATAGCCAATCTTGCTAGCTGACTTGTTCTGAGACTCTCCTGTCTCTGTTGCCACCTTCCAAGGCTAGAATTACAGGCAAGTATTATGTCCACCTGTCATTTACATGGGTTTCTGGAGACCTGACCTCTGGTCCTCATGCTTGTACAACAAGAGCCATCTCCCCAGGCCCCATGTTAAATTATTTTTATTTACTTATTTATTTTCAGACAGGGTCCCACTATACAGCCCTGTATGGTCTATAACTTGTTATGTAGAACAATCTGACCTTGAACTCACAGAGATCTGCCCTGACCAGCAGGGCACAACGGGGGGCCAAGCACTCGGGGACCTGGAATGACAAGAGACACAAAGAACAGACAGCAAGATAGGCTTTCTGATCATATTTTTCTCAGGCCTGTTATATAGTGGTTAGGGTGGGAAACTACGTAGGGTGGAGTAATCAAAGGAGAGGGATCATTGCCTAGTAACCAGGCCACTGAAGTTGAACAGATAACAGGTGTTGGCAAGGTGAAAGGGTCGCAGAAGGAGGGGTTAAGTGATCTAAGTGTGGAATGTTTCCTTTTTTGCCATCAGCTATTCCTGTGAGCCCAAGTTCTATTCATTAGGAAGCTGGGGAGGGGAAGAGGGTTGGATGGGATTGAAGGTAGGTATTCTTTTAACATGATGGGCTATTCTTAAAAAAGGCTGGCAATATTTACAAAAGGTTCTAAATAACAATGATCTCTCCCAACAGAGATCCTCTTGCCTCTGTTTGCCTAGTGTTGGTATTCAAGGCATACATCACCATGCCCAGCCACTGTATTCTTTTGAACTGTGCTGTGTTAAATATTCCACTGTGTTAGCATACCAGTATTTCATCTTCTTCCTAATAGACTTTACATTGCACTGCTCTATCTATAGAGGACTGTAAACATCCTTACTCTTATATGTTTGTGGTGGCATTTCTGTAAGATGGATTCCTGATACTGGGTTTGTAGAGTTAAGGGATAAACATGTAGTCAATTGTACTTGTTCTGTAGAAAGCAGAAGAGAGAATGTGAGGGAAGAGGTATCGATACAGCAGGTGGGGTGAAGGGCAGGGTAGAAAGACAACATATGGCGTGTTCCCATTTGTGCATATTTGAGATTTAAATACACACACACATATACCAGTGTGACATCAAAGCAGAGTGGCGGGAGGGGGGAACCAGATGCTGGTGGAGGGGTGAATGTGTGCAAAATATAATGATTTAGAAGTATGAAAATATGCTGAAGCAACAAAACAAAAAGGTAGTGCATGTTTCCACACTTGCCCTTTGTCAATTCGCAATGCATCCATCACCCCACTTCTGGAATTATTTCCACAAAACTCAAATCTGGTTGTGGCTTTCTCTGTTTAAAATGCTTCAGTGGCTTCTCACTGCCAGCAAGCACTAAACATTTACCCCAACTCCTTTTCAGTCACTTTTACATTTAATTTATTATTTTGTGTTGTTGCCTATGTGAAAGTCAGAGGACAACTTTTGTGGCATTGATTTGCTCTGTGCACCTTTAGGTGGGATCCAAGAATTGAACTTGGGCCATCATGCAAATACAGTAGGCGACTGTACCCGCTAAGCCATTTCACTGGTACCTCCACTAGTTCTAGATCCTCTGGGAAGCAGACCCCAGGCAGAACTGGAAATGCAGATTTACTGAAAGATAAAGTGTGAAAGGTGGGCAGAGAAAAGGTAGCCTTGTGAGAGCGGTTGCTATCTAGTTTCTGGAAAGGAAGGAGACAGAAGGGAGATCTCTTAGGAGATATCTCAGACTGACCTTGAGGAATATCCCAATCAGACCAGTGAGGACTGAACCCTTGGAGTCCTCCCGCTGGGCAGAAATGGACTGGCCTAGGCTGCCACATCCTAGTGGCTTCCAGGAATTGAACCTGACTTGGGGGAAGCTGGAGAATGAAGGAATGACCATTATACATACACACAGGAAAGCTGGGATCAGGTGGTCCAGGATTTTTGATGGAGAAAGCACAGTGCCCAGGAAACGCAGCATGTTTATTATATACAGTTGAGCAGAGAGGCAGGGTTATTACATAGCTGAACAAGGAGGTGGGGTTATTACATACAGATCAACAAGGAGGTGGGGTTATTACATACAGATCAACAAGGAGGCAGGTGAAGCTAATTCTGTAGGAGCAATCTCTGTAGGAAAGCAGTCTTTAGGTTATAAATTTGGGGTAGGGTGAGGGGAGAAAGCTATGGTGGACATATTCTGCACATACTATCAACATTTGCACTTGAACCAGAAGAAGGCTTTGCCCTCACTATGGGGGAAGGGAGGAAGGTCTTGCCATTTTCCCATGGGTCTGAGACTAGTGTCCTTGAAGTGGCTGGCTCATGTCAACAACAAACATTCACTCAGGACCTAGCACACTAAGCACTTCACACACTCAGGACCTCACACACTCAGGACCTAGCACACTCAGCACCTTACACACTCAGGACCTAGCACACTCAGGACCTAGCACACTAAGCACTTCACACACTCAGGACCTAGCACACTAAGCACCTTACACACTCAGGACCTAGCACACTAAGCACCTTACACACTCAGGAGCTAGCACACTAAGCACTTCACACACTCAGGACTTCTACTCCCTACACCAGGGAGGGCATTAGCCACTGTCAAGGACCCCATGCCAGCAGCCACACCAATCTTCCATCCCTACCTAAACCCAGCTTTTGACTTCCTTGTCCTCTGCCTCTGATGCTCCTCTGGTTATACCAACAGAAACTTT